CCTACACTGCCAGCATTGTCTGTTCCCTACAGAAGGAAAGAGGTCCCTCTCATGGTCCAAGATGCACATCCTCCTCCTTAAAACCCAACTCATGAGAACTCAAAATCACCACAGGATAGCAAGAAGGAAACATCTGAAACACCCTAGCATCCTGGGTGCTTCTGAGGACTTCAGAATTTACAGGGACAAAAGATAGAAGCAAAGATGACTAAGTGAAGAGGAGTAGAACAGATTTTGTAAAAAGTGTCAGAGAAGCAAAGCTCAGAAAGACTTGAAGTTTCCCCCCAATACCAAGAATAGCAAAGGACAGCTCTGGCAGGGTAGTTCAGCTAGAGGATCCTTCCCATATGCCATGGTTTCATACCCAGTCAGAATATATATAAGAAATAACCAATCAACCAATGAAAGCATAAATAAGTGGAATAAATTGACATCTCTTTCTCTCTTTCCCTCCCTCTTTCTCTCTCTCTAAAACAAATAAACAAACAACAGAAAAAGAACAATTAAAAAACCTAGTTAAGGACAGCAGGAATGTGATGTGTCTAGAGCAAAAAAACAAAAAAAAAAAAACCAGGGCTATTCCAGGGCAGTTAGTGCAGGCACAGCAAGGTTCTCAGCATCAGAAGGAGCAGCCCCCACTGTAAGAGAGGCGGCCAGGGGAGTGGGAAGGGAGAGAAAGGCCAGCTACTTCTTCCAGAGTTCAGATCTCCAGCCCCAGCAAAAGGCCCCTCAATGTTTCTGCCCTGGGAAGTAGGGGAATGAAAACAAGCAAACAACTCTAGGGAAATTACACAAAATCATCTGAATATCAAAAACTAGGGTACAGAGAAACCATGTCTTTCCTTATGACCAATTGTAAAAAGGCATTTTTGAGAGAATTGAGGAAATCCAATTGTAGACTAGTTACTGGGTATATCATTGTTTATTTTGATAGCTCTGATAAGGCACTGTGGTTCTGTAGAAAAATGCATTCTCAAGAATGTAGTAGCAATTCACACGCTTGCTGCCAGGTTGGAGGTCAGAGTAAGCTTCTTGGGGACCATAGGAGGAAGATGGCAGTGGAATCGTGCATCACCCAGGAGGAAATTAGAAGGAACCGGAGAAGCCAATTGACTGGGATAAGACTAGGCCACTGCTGCTGCTGCTTTGCATCTTCACCATCAACAAAGGCGCTACCACAGCATGGAGAGTTTTCCTGCAGGAATGTGAGAAGGATGTTCCTCAAGGGGTCCCATATTGGAGAGGATGAAGGCTGGGTGAGGGACACACACAACATCCCCCACCACCATCCATGCATGAATTTGTGCACCAGGCCTCTAGTATATATCTATAAAATTAAAGGATGTTTAAAAGAGAAATATGTATAAAATGTATAGAAGTAACCGATTTAAGAAAAATCAATTTAAAAATTGGATGTTTTAACTTTTAAATGCTAAACCTAAGGAAAGATGTCTTGAAGAATCGTTCTCAACTCATTCATTACCAAACGATGTATACTGTTGGCTAATGATAGAGAACTGTTGGTGAAGTCCCATTTTGCCTTTATCCTTCTTGTTTTGCAATCTACATAGACTCTGTAACCTTAAAACAGAAAAAAAGGCAGGCAAAGTTCAATACAAATTATATTAATCTCAAAAACAGTTTTCAGCTGCTTTAAATGGAATCCAAGACCCATAAGTTATATCCCAGAGTAGTGAGAGAATTTAATGAACTAACTCATGACCTTGAACTGTAAATCTTGGAGTCAAGATGATTTGGCCGAGGTACTATGGGCAGATACAAGCTTCGCAAGTACAACAGCTTGTTAATATTGTTCCCTGATATATCTATAGCTTCAAGCATAGTACCTAACATGCATTCATGGCTTGACAAATGTCCTTGACAAAATTTCAAAAATCTGTTTTGTGGGTTTGTTTTAACAGTATGGACACATAGAAAACTAAGCAGTGATCACTAGGAGGCAGCATCTGTTCACAAAGACCACATGTGCTCACACATCTACTGAACCACAAAGTGAGAGTAGAGCCAAGAATATTTAAAGTATTTCAGGTAATTATAATAAAGGTGGCCCACAATGAATATTGGGGGGGGAAATTGGGTTTATAGTTGTGAAATAGTTTATTTTTGTATTATTATTTATTAACGTATTTTCCACATGAACTACAAACCTACTTTTGCCCCACTCAGTATATGAAGCTTTGGGAATAGCCTTAGATCATTTAAGTATTTCTTTCAACTATGCTTTTGATAGGTACTTGAGAGAAGAAATTTTGAGATGATACTTTGTGCAGATAAGGCAATAAGGAAGACAAAGACCTGGTTGAATCAGAGTCCTATTCCAAGTGACCTCTTGTAAGGCGTCTATTCCTATTGAGCCTCAATTTTGCCGTATGTAAAAGTCACTGTTCTAAGCACTTAACATCACAGCTGGCACATGGTATGCATTCAATAAACACTATGTGCTAATTTTGGAGGAGGCCCAGAACGCATTATATTGTCAGTTAAAGACTGACTGCGTGGTAACTTTGGCTACTACACAAGTAGTTCTGGATCCCATTGGGGATTGTTTCCTTTCTTGTCCACATGGGGAATTTTTTGTTACATATCTGAGAAAAAATGTTGACATAGCCTACATTTGCATTAAATAATACTTAAAAATTCTTATATCTCATGAGGTTAAACATTTTAATTTTATTAAGATGTTCAAAGAAATGCTTAAAGCAAATATTAATAAAAGTCTATCTATAATACCTCTTATTCTCTGGCATCAAGATTTGTATTATTTAAGCCAAAACTGTTAACATGTAAGGCCATTTATCAAATTGTTTTAACATGAAAGCAATGTTTTAAATGATTATTTTAGATATTATATTCAGTTAAAAAGAAACAAATTAAGACCTTTTTGAAGTTAGTTGCCATTTGCAAAATGCTTTAGTGAAAATAGCATGCCAAGAAAAATTTGATTTATTATTAAGTTGGGTTTAGACAATACCTGAATCACAAAGCACAGAAGTGGTAATTATAGGTTAAAAGTGATTTTCTTCTTTATAAGAAAACTGTAAGAATAAAAGTCTCATTAAAGAATATAAAAAACTTGCCACTGCATATTAATGATACCACTTATAGTTATGTTTCCCTTACAGTGCTTTTGCAAAAAGATATCCAACTTGAATCAGTTGAGCATAAAAGCCTACCATGTGCACCCAGGAATAAAGAACTGCATGTACATTTCATTTTCATTTATTTCCTCTATTAAGGACAACCAACTCATACTTTGGGAATGATTTTTCTGACATCAACCAAGAAAATACATCTTTGTAAATAATTTTAGACTTCAAAATGATACAGCATATTGGCAACTCATTACTTGAGAAGATTGGGCCTAAACCAGCAGACATCCCTCTCACAATCTGGGACTGCTGGCTCCTAACTGCTCACCTGCCTGCCTGATGGCCCCTAACGGCTTCTGCCTCAACTCTGCACCCTGGCTCCCCTCCCTCTGGCTGGCCACAGGCACCCGGGACATGGGGGGAGGGAAGGTAGTCCATTAGCCCAGCCTGCCCGCTCTCACAGTCCGGAACCCTCAGGGGATGTCCAGAGTCTAGCCTCCCTCTGTGGGTGACCTGGCTGATCAGGGGAAGGCCTTGCCCCCATCACCACCACTGCTGATACCTCTGGCCTCTCTCTGTGGGAGGTGACAGGGCCTATCAGGGGAAGGTGCCAGCCCCATCACCCAGCAGCTGCTGCCACTGCCAACCTCTGAGGCAGCCTGCCCTTGGCCCTGGCAGCCATCACCATGGCTTCCTGCCCTGGGCCCTTAGTTGCTGCTGTGGCTGCCGGCCCTCAGCCCTCACAGCCACTGCCATGGCTGCCTGCCTTCAACCCTTGCAGCCACTGTAGCTTTGTCCTGAAGGATATCCGGTCAAATTAGCATATTACCCTTTTATTAGATGGTTGTTTACACAAGAAGCTATAACATAGACCATATAGGACCTCAAGGGTTCAAAATATTTACTATCTGCATCATGACAAGTTTGCTAATAGCTATTTTTAACAAGTTCATTAAAAATTTTATTTATGTTTTTTCAGCATATACACTTTGGCCTAAACATGGGTTGATAATCTTATAATATTGTTTCTATGGATTCTTTAAAATATATAATCAACCAATTGTACAAGGAGTTTTAGAAAACAGCCTATTTGTAAATGAGGGGCATTACTTGACTCATTCAAATTATCAACCAATGATAGGCCTGAAATGCTTTGAAACCAGGTTTCAGTACTTCTTTAGAAACCAGGTTTATGGAACCAGTGTCATAGAAAGTTGTTGACAATAATAGCAAGCACTACTTCAACATAAACTTAAGGTTATTTACTCACATTTATAAACAATAAAAAAAACTCCTTTAATACAAGTAATTCCACAATTCGTAAGAACCAAGATGGCTTTTAATACTATATGGTATTAATTTTTTCAGATAATATACAATTTTGTTATAAGCATTTTTCCTTTTCTCAACCAAACACATTTACCCACACTTCTAAAGTGTGAGGGAACAGCCCCCCAGGCTGTGCAATAAATGGGAGGGGGGAGGAGGTGTAAGATATCTGGAAAGCAAGACTTATCTTCCTGTGACGTGTATCCTGCACTGTTATTGGTGGTATTTTATGCTTCAGTTATACAACACACACATTTCTCTTTTCAACAAGTTTTCCATAAAGATTAAAATATCACAATTTTTTTCCTAAAAATTCTCAAAATAATCATTAGATTTTCACACTATTTAATGGAAAAATAAAACCAACTACCAAACCTATGATTTAGACAAGAAAAATCTTTATTTAACAAAATGTAAAAATATTATAATTTACATATATCACAATTAATCTAGTCAAAATTGCACAATTACACATTTATAAAAATTCCACACATCAACCATCCTTAGAATAATCAGTTTCTGTACAAAGATTTACAGATGTCCAATGTATGTAATTTTTCCTCAGTGTGCTACTGAATTCAGAGGTTCTGCTCGAATATTCCCCAAATCAAGCGCAGAATCTGTTTCTTCATCAATTTCTCCAATGACTGCACTGCAATTAGTTGAGGAGAAAAAAAGTGAGTTAAAACAATCTCATTTCTGAATAAAACTGAGAAGACAAACTAAAAAGAACTACTTAATTTGAAAACCAAAATTTTTCATGAAGTCACAAAACTCAAAAAGAAATAATTTGAAGGCAACATTATTGCAGGAACTAATATTAAAAGACACATTTCATATAGTGTGATCTATACATATAAAGAGGTAATATGCTAATTTGTCCATGACTGTGTCTCCTTAACAACCAATTTGCATATGATGCATGCGCAGCAGGAGCAAAGTTCCCAGGGATCTGAGGACAGTGCCTGACAGAAATCTGGACTGCAAAGGAGCGGAAGCAGCCTCAGGGAGCTCTTCCAATCTCCCTGATGGACACCCTACCCCAGTCCCTGCACCGTGGGGGGAGGAGGGAGTGGGGGGAGGGGAAATGGGGAGGCTTACTGGATGGGAAGACCCAGCCTTGGGGGCAGCTGCAGCCTGCACCTCCGACTCCCAATCTCTTCCCCAGCCACTCCCGCCAGAGGCGCCCACAATAATAGCACACAGGTGACCACCCGTTAGCACCACGAGGCCAGTGGTTCGCCACTGCCAGGCCCTTACAACTCCAGACCCGGGTGGAGGCCCCGCTGAACTTCGCTGGGGGGCGTAGCTAAACCTGCCCTCCTAGCCTGCCTGGTTCCACCCTGGCCCAGCCCCATCCCGCTCCAGGAGATTGGAGCTCTGCCCTGAGCAGGTACAGCTGAGAAACAGCCACACACAATCTAAAGAATGGCGCCAAGTGGAAGGTTTGACAGTTACTTCCCCTTCGGCCTCACCACCCACCTAGCACTTTACTAACTCCCTGCCCGCCCCCAGTGCCTCCAGGGATGACCACCGCTACAGGACTGCTGGCCAGAGCCCACCCTCCGAGGTCTGCGCACCCTCTGCAAAGCTTGCATGCCTCCTCCCCTACCAGCACCTGCCACCTGCGAGGGTACCCGTGGGCTTAAAAGTAACAATCCCTCCCCCTTTAGACATCACTAACTGGATGAAGCATTTCTAGGTTTACTAGCTCAGAACCTCCTCATGACAACCCAGTGAGGGAGGCAGAGAAGAGATCACAGTTCCCATGGTATATGTGTATGTGTTCAGAAATGAAGCTCAGAGAGGAAAAGGGTCAAACCCTGTGGTTCCCAAGGTGCAGCACATGCTCCACAGGGGGACAATTTGATTTTAAGTGGAGCCAATTAGAGAATGAGCTAACAGTGAATTTTTTTGCATTTCTTATGGTTCTAGGGGGTCTCATCTACAGCGTATCCTACATAATAAAAGGCTAATATGCAAATGACCAAATGGTGGAATGACCAGTCACTATGATGCACACTGACCACCAGGGGCAGACACTCAACACAGGAGCTGCCCCCTGGTCAGTGTGCTTCCACTGGGGGAGTGCTGCTCAGCCAGAAGCTGGGTTTATGGCTGGCGAGCACAACAGCAGTGGTAGGAGCCTCTCCTGCCTGTGTGGCAATGCTAAGCCGTCAGTTGGACACCCCCCCAGGGCTCCCGGATTGCAAAAGGGCACAGGCTAGGCTGAGGACCCCGCTCCCCCACCGCAAGTGCATGAATTTTGAGCACCAGGTCTCTAGTTCGATCATAAGTCTTTAAAGGAAGAAGACATAAATGGGACAGGTATGGTATAAAAACCCAAAACTTCCAATCCTAAGATTTCAACTCTAGGAACTGTATTGGGGAGGTCTGAGAAGAGGGGGAGAATCACAAAATCACTAAATAAGAAAATAAAGCATCTGTTATTTAAGTAACTATTAGGTTTGATTGAATAAATACTCTCCCTCCATCCCCCTCCCAGGAACTGACTTTTCAGGCCATTTCACAATGGTCATTGCCTTTGCTGAGACCACATTTCACTTGCGGTGACCACATTCTATTATCGCATTTCTGGGTATGCATAAAGAAGTCTCCACCCAGAAAAAGCCCGCCAAAGGTCCTTTAAAAGCCACCGCCTTCCATCACTTGGGTCTGGAGCCAACCAGGCTCAGCCATCTGGTGTGTGGATGACGGAATAAATTCACAGTCCCTCACCACTCTGGCCTCATGCATTCCTCCTGCGGTGACCTATCATTAACATCAATGAACTAAATCTGTGTTGTATAATGTTTATTAGTAATTGTCATGATTTCTCAGTTTGCTTGATTTAAATTAAAAACCAAAAAGTAGTTTTTTTTTTATATACAAAAATAATAGCAGTTAACAAGTACTTAGGTACCTAATAAAAAAATTTTTTTTATGTGATTGGCTATTTCCAGCCAGTAGTTTTCCCATGAGTAAACACAAACCTATAACATTAATTTTATTAATGCTCTGCTAAGTAATAAAGCCATGGCTTTCTAGCTGGATATAATTATTTTACATCCAGACCAAGAGACATGTGTGAAACATTATTCCACTAAAAACCAGTTGTTTAAATTTGTTTGGTTTTAATGAGAGTAAATTCTTTATAAATGAACGAGAGGCCTGGTGCAGGAAAATTCATGCACTTGATGGGGAGAGGTCTCTCAGCTCAGCCCGTCCCCTCTCACAGTCCTGGAGCCCTCAGGGGCGGGAAGTGACCCAGCGACCAGGGGAAGGCGACACCCCCATCACACCTCTGCTGCCACCACTGCTGGCAGCGCAAGCCTCGGCCAGCCTTGGTTACCTGAGCCTCAGGCGGCTCTGGGCAGCTGCCATCCAAGGTTTGCCTGTGCCTTGGACTGGCCCTATAGGGGGGTGGGGTCTGAGAAGACTTGGTTACTCTGGAGGCAGGCCCAGGGGGCAGGCCCAGCCATGCCACATACCTGTCGCCCCAGCAGGGCTAAAAGGACTGTGTGCTGCCAGCTTTTGAGGGTGTGACAGTCAATTAGCATATTGCCTCCTTATTGGCTGTGGGCACCACCATCTTTGTGAGGATGTGATGGTCAATTAGCATATTCTCTCTTTATTAGATAGAATACTTTCAATTCAGAATTTGCCTAATTTTGCTTTAAACTATATAAAGCCTTCAGTTCTCTAATAATGAAAAGTACTAAACTCTGGGGAAATATATTATTTTCTCAAAATAAAACAAATCCAAGATCTCAACTGTACCCCTAAAAGTTTAGGATCATTTAAAATCCTATTGGAGCCGGGACTGGTTTGGCTCAATGGATAGAGCGTCGGCTTGGGGACTGAAAGGTCCCGGGTTCGATTCCGGTCAAGAGCATGTACCTTGGTTGCGGGCATATCCCCAGTAGGGGGTTGATGACTCTCTCACATCGATGTTTCTAACTCTCTATCTCTCTTCCTTCCTCTCTGTACAAAATCAATAAAATAATAAATAAATAAATAAATAAATAAATAAATAAATAAATAAAATAAAATACTATTGGAAGGCAGTGAGTGCTGATAAATGTTTTAAAACCAGCTCTCCAAAGAAAACAATGGGAGGCTGGTTTACAGTATTTACTGACATCACTAGTGTAAACTGTCCCACTATTCCTGATATGAAGCTACCAACAAGACATTAATGAATCAGCTTACAAAACTGAAAACACAACAATCTGCTTTCAAAAGTTAGTATAAGCTGGTTTCAGCACATCACTAGGTCTACAGCAAAGATCTACATTTTTTTAAATTGCAGTTCAAAAATATTATTTTTTAATGTAGGAGATTCTTAAAATCAATTTTTATGCAGGGAGCTACAATATAAAGAATTAGTGTGTTCTAGTCAGGGGACCTGGGCCCCATCTCCTTGGCCTTCTTATTTTTTTACAGCTCACTTTATAACTTTGCACCTAATAGTCATCTATTTAATAAACCCCTGATTTAGATAAAAATCCAATAATTTATCCATCTAAAATATGATTTTCTTAAGGTAAACAATTCAAATGAATGGTATTCTTACATCTTCTATATCCTACCTGTTCCCCCAAATAATCTAAGATGCTAATACATCTTTTGCTGCATTTCAGCTATGTTTTAAATCTATACAGTAATCAGTAGAAAACTGATTCAACAATCTTTTAGCTGCTATAACGCATTGTCTAATACAGTAGCCACTAGCTACATTTATTCAATTATATTTAAATAAAATTTAAAATTCAGTCATTCAGCCACATTAGCCATTTTCCAAGAACTCACCAGTTATACACGGCTAGTGTTATCTTAGTGTTATCAACCTTAATGCAGATATATAGCATTTCCACCACACCCACCCCAAAAGGTCTACTAAACAGCTTTGTTCTATATTGTTGCAGACTTTTCCTGAATTGCCAGCACCATAATCTATCTTCTTAAACTGCCCCATCGGTGCGTCACAAATTAACTGAGGCCACAGCATTGACACAGCACATATTTATCATGCCAATTATACTGAAAAAATTTTTAAAAATAAGTAATAGATAAATACTTGTTTATAAATTCAGCTCTACTTATATAGCAGGAATCATTTAAAATTGTTCATGCAAAGTATTTCTAATTAATTTTCAAACCTTAGCTTTGGTTTCCTAGGAGTATATTTATATTCCTCTGAAATTAGAGGTATTTTGGAAGAACTTTCTAAGAAGCCTCCCTAGTGAATTATTCAGTATAAGTTGAGACCCTTTCTGAACCCTATCCAGCCCACTTAACTATTAGAAATATGGACAAATCTCAGTAGATAAAAACCTCCTCTCCACATAGCAGGGCAGTACAACTATAGTATATTTAACCTGCCTTAAAGAAGACACATTTCACTTACACGTTGTCACCTCTTACGATGTATAACCCTAGTACCACTTGTTCCACTCCCTGCGAAGAGCTGAACACTCGTTCATGGCTTTCATCCAAAATCAAATTAATGGTCTGGTCAAAACCTTTCAGTGTTCCCTGTAAAAAGAAAAGTTTAAGTATTCAGGTTTACTTGAATACGTAAATTTAACCAGACAATAATTTTAGGTGCTGGGTCCTCCTATAGAAACATACAAGTCCACTATAAAATGTAATTCCTCTTTATAATTACCGATATTCTGGCACAAAACTTACCTCTTGGTTTTTTAAGGGGTAAAAAAAAGTACAGCACACATTTCACTAGTGTGCAGAGTTGCTTAGACTTACAAAGGACATCAATGTACCTGTGTATTTCCAAGAAAGTAGCAAAAAAGCCCATCCAGAAGCTAACATTCTACAGACACAAACTAAAACAAGTTAAATCTAAGGGGGAATTATACAAGGCTGGGCAAAAGTAGTTATAGTTGCAGGTATGGGAAATACAAGAATAAACTGTGTTTTGCTTACTCATAAGTGTAAACCTACTGTTGCCACCCTTGAGTGTTTATATATGTATGGAACCATATACCAGCTATTGCAATGTAGCAGTATCACTTCATACAACACACTAGTACTAGACCTGTGCTAAACACACTGCACACATTATCTCAACTAACCTTTTCCTTTCGAGTAGATGTAACTATTACCACTTCAGAGAAGGAAAACTGAGGCACAGGGAGGGTAAGTAATCTCTAAAGGTTTCTTAGGTAGAAAGTAGCAGAACTAGGATCTAACCATGAAAGGATAGCTTCAGAGACAGACAGTTGAACTACTAAACTACTATGAACAAGCAAATATAATTCACATTCTTAAGAGATTCAGATAAGTCCCATAAAGATATATAAACCTCAACTGTTCTTAATAGTTAACACAATGAGTAGTTGGCAGAAACTGTTCTAGGGGCCTCACATGCATTTATTATACTTATTCAATCCTCCTAATAATGCAATAAGGTAGATACAAACATGACCGAAATAATTAAGAGCCAAACCTTGAAGAAAATATACAGATAAAGTTTTAATGGAAGACTTCTGATTTTTAATAAAGGAAGACATGGGCATAGCACAGCACAATAACTCAAGGCTATTCAATATTTTGAAGAACCTTATATTTGTTTGGTTGTTTAAATCTCTGAAGCTCCCTATTAAATTGTTTCATGTTTTGAAAATCAACATATATATAAAATCAGAATGAAATAAAGAGAAAACAAAATATGAAACACTGTCTATAGTAAAGTAATTTGCAAATAGTTATCACACACACATATAGCATTTGGCTTCATTTTACATATAACTGTTCTATCAAGTATACCATGCATCAAAGAAATGCAGAACAAATGAACTTTAGTACTCAAAATGCTGTTTTTAAAAAGCTTCCCTTCTTTTATAAAATTAAAATAACTTTCCAATTCATTACATATCCTTTTAACAATAGAAAAATTTAAACTTTGTTTTTGAAAAATAAAAAAATAAAAACTACTTTGTAAATATGTGTTAATAGCAGAAAGTTTTATTTTTAATTTCTTTATTGATTATGATATCACATAATTGTCCTCATCCCCCCATTCCCATCACAAACCCTTCCCCACATATGCCCCCACCCCCCTGTTATCCATGGGACTTGTGTGCATGGATATGGGCCTAACCAGTGGCCATAGCAGAAAGCTTCCTGAAGTGTTGAGATTAAAGTATTTCAAACTGTCCCTGACAAAATTTAAGCTGATGTGCTTAAAAGAAAACATGATTGTTCTCTTGATTACGAAGGAAATAAGACCCAGTTTGGTTCTGCCACTTGATTACAGGTGACTCTGGGAAAGCGACTCACTTTTTCTGAGCTTGGTGCCTAATGTAGAATAAAGGGTATTTGTAGTCTCACCTAGTTGTCCTGAATATTAAATTATAATATCTATATTAATAAAGAGTAACATGCTAATTAGACCGGGTCAATTGGACATCTTCCAGTCGTCCTGGACAAAGCCACAGTGGCAGGGGCCAAGGCTAAGGTGGTTAGCGGAGATCAAGCCAGCAGGGGAGAGTGGGTAGGGGCAATCAGGCAGGCAGGTGAGCAGTTAGGAGTCAGCGGTCCCAGATTGCAAGAGGGATATCCAACTTGGCAGTCGGACATTCCCCCCAGGGTTCCTGGATTGGAGAGGGTGCTGGCCAAGCTAAGAGACCACCCTCCCCTGTGCACAAATTTCGTGCACTGGGCCTCTAGTAATTTAATAAATGGCAAAGTCTAACACTCTGACTGGTAATCTTCTCTTAAGACTTACTGAGAAAAATCACAAGAATTAAATAGGAAACAAACAAAAATAGAACTGCAGAATGGAAAAATGAGAGATTAAATTATATAAATTAGAATATATAGTAGCCTTAAAACTTTTTTGAAAGCAAACAGCTATATGAAAAATATGTGAAGAAATAATTAAGTAGCCAAAAATTATGGAATAAATTCCTCAGATCAAGGAAGAGGTCAAGGAGAGAATCTCAAATTTTTCTGTAATTAAAAGGAGATACTGTGATAAACAGACAAATGAGATGAAATAAGTTTAGGGTCAATCATCATAGTTTGTCCTACAGAAGAGAGAGGTCATACAACCTCAGAAGAGTCAAAGAATATTAACACCATACACACCTTAAATGTTCCATAAATGTAGTATGTTAGGCCCAGTGCATAAAAAAGATCCTAAGAACAATATACAAACTTTCAAAAAAATATTATGATTCATGTAGTGAATATCAGAGTACTGAATGGAAAAAGAAATAAATATTGGGAAAAATTAATATGAAATACAGATGTCTGCATACTATACTATCAGTAGATGCTCCCTGAGGGCAGAATCTAGCTTCCAGAAGCCTTTAATGCATATTCAAACTTGTTAATAAAGAAAAAAATACTATATTCACAACATAAAGACTTAAAAGTTTCTAACTCCTCCAACCCTCGTCATATTTACACAATTAGAAAAGGAAAAAATAGAAAAAGAAAATCCTTTTCTGTATGTGATCAGGGTAACCTTTCAGGTAAAGAGCTGAGTCACAAGAAAACTGTAATGCAGGTATAACACTCCCGTGCCCAGGCATTACAGATCAGAGCTTCTACAGAAAAACTTACAACAAATAAGCCTCCAAGAAAAGGAGAGAATGAATATGCCAAATACTTACCACTATCATCCTCCCATCGGAAGTAATAACAGCAACAGTTCCTGGTAACTGAATCAAGGAAAGCATTTCTCAGGGAATGCGACCTGAAAACTTAGAACCTGGTAAGGAAGTGGTTTGAATCGCTGGGGGAAAGGTGACAGAATTAAGATTCAACTATTCAACACACACACTACATTCACAACCTAAAAACGTGAGGTTTCTAACGTCTTCAATTCCTTGTGGCAATTAGAAAAGGTAAAGATAGAGGGGGGGGAAAAAAAATCACTGTCCAAAGTGATCAAGTATAACCTGTCTGTCTCAAAGCCGCTGGGATGTTCGGTACTTTCTAACTGGGTACCTCTGAGTCTGAGCAAGGCATGTCCCCCTTTCTTAGACCTGTGTGCTCATCTCTACAACTAAAATGGGTTAGTGCTAAATTAGTGCTGGATGATTTCAAAAGTGTGGTAAGCCACTGTCTTCCAGGACCTGGCTTCTGGAATTCAAATGAAAAGCTGTAATGAGTGGCACAGGAATAAATGTGCTTCACAGCATGAAGTCTTTAGTATTTCGCTCTCCTCCTCCCCGCCCAACACACACACACACACACACACACACACACACACACACACACACACACACACAATGTAGCGTTCCTGCCCGGAGACTTTAAAACTGCCACACAGGCACCGAGCACGGGAGACTGCCCGGAGGCTTTCTAAAGTTGTGTGTCCCCTGCGATGAGCCGCCTCCCAGCTTCATTTCCATTCTCTCCACAAAGAAGCTGAGGCTTCAGCGGTCCAGGGGCAGGACAATGAGCCGAGCCTACGAACAAAACAATGCAGCACATGCATTTACAATAGCGTCATCGGTAGCACCACGGTTCCTTTCATTCCCCAACTCGACGGCCTAGAGAAGGAGGAAGGATGAATAAACCGATGACTTCTGCAGACAGAGAGACGTTCAGAATAATCGCATGCTTTAAAGGTTAAAATGAAAGGGCGCGTTTTGGGCCCATTCGTGCCGCGGGCGCGGGATTGGTGGGTCCCCCGGATCCTTAACCCCCGAACCCCGGGTCACGCAGTGGCCGGAAGTCCCCACCGCCCGCCGCCTGGGCCCGGGCCCTCTCCGGCCGGGCGTGGGCCTCCCCGCGGCTCCGGCCGGCGCCGGCGGGGCCGCCAGAGGATACGGTTGATGTAGTTCTCCAGGGCGGAAGTCATGCTGCTCGGCCGACACGCCGGGGGACGAAGAAGCGCGGGCGACAAAAGGAGCCGCGGCAGCCCCGGCAGCCTGCTAGCCGTCCACAGCAAATACCGCGAGAGTTCCACCCCGCCGCCTCCGCGAATCAGAGGCGGAGAAACCAGCCAACCGCGCCCAGGAGGCCAAGCGGCGCGAGTTTAGGGCGCGTGCGCAGAGCGTTTTTTCCGCCCATTTCCGGGTGTGTTCTCTGCAGCCGTGCGCCCGAAGGCTAGCGGGTGGCTCAGCCCCTCGGGGGTCGCAGGGGGGGAAAGTGGGCGAGCGGGGACATCCCCAGCGGAGTGAAAGGCGTGGGTAGAGGTGGGGAAGTGTTGAGGGAAGACGGGGAAAACGGAGTACTGTAAGGTGTTCTCATTGGGAGCGAAGTAGAGTGAGATGAGTGCTGTTCTAGGAGAGTAGATGCCGGGAGGTGCAATCCCGCCTTCCACCGCAGGGGCCGAGAGGCTTTGGGAAGCTGAGTGAGTGGCCTGGGACTCAGGTACACACACCGACAAATAGCAGGTTCGCATATTCTGCAATTGCCTCTCAAAGTGCTCCAACTTGGCCGCGGTTTTTACTCACTTATTTAGGAAATTGAAGCCAAATTGGAAAAGGTGTGTGAGACTCCCTTAGGAGCTATGGCTATTTTAAAAACAAAACAAAGCAAAAACCAACAAGACCTCTGATTTCAGTTAGGATTGTGATTCCTTAACTGAAGAATTGTGGGTCGGAAATAACTCCTGCAGTGTCAGCAGATTTATGAAAAGTGAAGCATCTCTTTCATTACAGCATTCCCATAAAATTATCTGCAGGTCACTCCCAAATGGCTAATATTTCGTATTCTGATCTGTTTGAAACCACATCTAGTCAGGAGCACTTACAGTACATATAGCTAAGACAGGCACTCTGTTAGAATAGATGCAGCAAGAGCAAGTGCCTAAAGGAGCCATGCCATTAATGCTGCAGTGGCAGCCAGGCACATGTGCTTGCCAGCAGTTTTGAAGCCTGCAACATTTTAATGATGTTAAATCTTCCAATCAGTGAACACGGTATATGCTCCTGCTTTTTTTTTTTTTTTTTTTTATATGTCTTCCTCTATTTCCTTTTTCAGTGTCCTAATACAGATCTTTTACATCCTTGGTTAAGTTTGTTTCTAAGTATCTTACATTTTTGTTGTTGCAATGGTAAATGGGATTTTCCCCCCTCTTTCTGAGGGTTATTTATTGGTGTATAAAAATGCCATTGACTTCTGGGTGTTAATTTTTTTATCCTGCTACTTTGCCAAATTTATTTATTAAATCTAGCAGTTTCTAGGGTTTTCTGTACATGTATAGTGTCATGTCATTTGCGAATTATTTCCTCCTTTACACTTTGGATGCCCTTTATGTTTTCTTCTTATCTAATCACTGTGGCTAGGATTTCCAATACTATTTTGAATAAGAGTGGCGAAAGCGGACATCTCTATCTTAAGGGAAGTGCTGTTAGCTTTTGCCCATTGAGTGTGATGTTGGTTGTAGGTTTGTCATATATGGCCTATATTATGTTGGGGGAATAACCCCTCTATTTCCATTTTGCTGAGAGTTTTTTTTTTATCATAATTATATCAACTGGATTTTTAGCTGACTTCCACTTTTTTCCATTTAAGTATATATATTACCATGCATTCTCTGAGAACTGTTGGAAAGTCAATCTACCATGAACCTTGAAGTTCCTGTACATCCTGGGTATGCTTCAAATGCAAAGTTATCATTACTCTTAACTTGAGCCAATTGTACTGGTATGTCACTTGTAACTCAGTTTCTAGGTAAACAAGAATATAACAATACACATTTTGCAGTTCTCTCAAAACTGCTTTATTGTGCTTCAGTGACTTTCCATTATTGATATGTGCATCTCTGAGGGTTTTTTTTTTTTTTTTTTTTCCCCAGAATCCTGCCTTTTTGTGGCAGGCTAGAACTACTGGGAAGTAAGCACTCTTAGGAAGCAATCTTCAGTGAGTGACAGGAAGGTTTATAAATGTCTCAGCCCTTCTTCAACTTGGTAGAATAATTCAGATGGGATATCTCCAGTCATTTAACATAGTAGCTGACTTAATAATGCACTTCTAATTGATTGTCTTCCTTTTCTTGTAACTCTTCTCTACTCATTTACTGGTTTTCCCTAAACTACTTGCATTTGGATTCTTTTCCTAGGATCTGTTTTTAGAGGACTCTCAAACTAAGATAGCGTGAATACTTCCTTTCAAAGGGATCTGTATTTTACCTGACTTTGAGGTATCTGTAGCCTATCCCCAATTCTTGTCGTCATCATTTGATATCATTAGGTCATCTTTTATATGATGCAAAGGAGGATATAAGATTTTGCTCCCTCCATAGGGTCTATACAGGCCTCTTTAAAAAAAAAAAAAAAAAAATATATATATATATATATATATATATATATATATATATATATTATTGATTTTTTACAGAGAGGAAGGGAGGGAGTTAGAGCCAGAAACATCGATGAGAAAGAAACATCGTTCAGCTGCCTCCTGTACATCACCTACTGAGGATGTGCCTGCAACCAAGTTACATGCCCTTGATCAAAATTGAACGCAGGACCTTTCAGTCTGCAGACCGACACTCTATCCACTGGGCCAAACCGGTTTCGGCTATATAGGCCTCTTTAAGTAAGTCTAGTTAAGCAAGAACTGCTACCAGCAAAGTTGGTTTAAATGGGTTGTTTACTTAAAAAACAATATGCCTATCTATGGTAGAACATACCAGGTTGTTGCACTAAAACTTCAGTGAGGCTCAGTGACAGCAATAAATGAAGCACAGAAATGACTGGCACAGCAAGAATTGATTTAGTGGTGGTAGGGTAAACTATGGGGAATCCCTCATTAAGTCTGAAATGGTATTAATTGCAAAGAGTGAACCCACCATTTCTAGCTGTTCTGACCTGCTGATTCCTCCCTCTGGGAGGATGAGATCCCTCAACTCTGGATGTGTCTCCTAGTTATTGCAGCCAGTATTCTATATCCTAATCTTATGTATATCCCTAGTGCTGCTTGCTTTCTGCTTCAAAAGCAAACCAAAGTGAAAGCATTCTGACCCCACACGCTGACCAGCCTGTGTCTGGCAATAAGTAGATGCCACCAATAATCTATGCACCCCCCCTAAACAGTGGATTCTTGAGGTTAACATTTGACAAATCTGAACTCACCTTCTTCCCCAACTCCACAGTGACCTAGTAGCATTCAGAATTCTGGGTGATTTTGGAGGTGGAGATGAAGGTCTGAGCTGCACATGCCTCTTTCCTGGAGTAACTGGATACAGTGAATCTGCCAGGGCCCAGAGCTTACAGAATAAGTCACTCATGTTGGTATCTCCAATATTAAGTGGCAGTCAGATACTCAAGCAAAATGCTTTTACAGTCTTCCTTAAAATCATGTTGGGATGGTAATAGGTTAAACCACCTTTTTGTGAGACTCCCTGCCATATTCCCCTTCTGAGTCCTGGAATTTCTTCATATACCTTTCTATTTAGAAGACAGTGTGAAGACGGAGTCTCCAGAAGCACACCTTGAAGCAAGGATTTATTTATATATCAGTGATTTATTACAGAAGTGTTCCCAAGAGAACTCAGTAAGGAAGTGGGAGAAGCAGGAGGGGGCGGGGAGGAAACAAAGCATGCTGCATTTGCAGACAAGGATTTACCCAGGCTGACCCCACAGAGGAATTCGATGTGGGAGTGGATGCTGCACTTTGTCCTCACCTGAGGCAGGACATAGACTTGGGCTTCTCTACCCCCCCACCTTGCCAGTCCTTAGGAAGGATTGCCTCTTGCACCTGGAGTGGAAGAAGCAAACTCCCAGCTCTGTGAGGGAGGGCGAAGCCCAAGTAGTCTAAGGGTGGCAAATTCTGGAAAAGAGTAGCAGATCCTGGCCTCAGGGAGCAAAAACTAATGAAGCCGGAGAGGTACACAGAAACCATGAAGACAGTCTTAGGGTGTCTGGGTAAAGCTCTGACAGCATTCACTTCAGTGAATAATTCGGTTTCTACTCATTTAAGTTTTGAGCATATTTGAAATAAAATGTTAGGAAAATCAGAAGATAATTCCAATTTTGTAAAAGATATTTTTTACTTCATATCAACAAAGTGTACAGTTAAAACATTCACTTGTAATTAAGGCAGTTCTTTTGTCATGTGGGCAGGGGTAAGAAAGGACCTGGAGAGGATTATTCACTGTACAGGAGAATTTTTTTGTGACATCAACAAACCCTTATATAGTTTGAAACATTTGTTTGGACACTTCATTATTGAACTGCTCTTTATTATATATGTAATTCAAGTTTGCCTAGAGGCTGTCATAGCTTGAGGGCCCAAAGGAACTTACATAATAGCAACTCAGTTTTCTCTGATTCATGCCTAATCTGGTTCATGCAGGATTTCCATCCCCCATTTAGAGTCTTCCAGGTCACTTCTGGGAGTCCATCTGGGATATCTCACAATAACTCACCAAGACTCTTTTCACATCTTCTATTCCAGATTTCATTATTGCTCATGCAGCTTTGAGAATTCTCTTCAGGGTGCCCTTTTGCCAGCAACATGACTCATGCCTGCAGTGACAATATATATCTCTCTGGAAGAGTGGGGAAATGAGAGAGCAGGAGAATGTCTCCCCAAAATTCTAGAGCCTTAGACTTCCAAGTTTGCCAAAATAGTAGTCTATTCTCAATATCTGCTCTTAGCTATAGCTGTATTGTGTTCACATCTTAAGTGATGAGGCTTCCTCCTTGAGTCTATGTCAGAGCTTGTTACTGGGTTCTGGGGAAGGACTACATGTATACTCAGGTCTCAGAGAATCATTGTGAAAACAATTCTTGCTTCTGTCTGTAGCTGGCCCCCTGTACTAAGTTTAGATGTAAGACCATAGCGATGGATAAAGAAGAAAATTCTCTTCATAGTCTTCTACTCCATGCAAATAGATGATTGTAAATA